GTCCCACTATCTTTCCCATCATATTCCATCAACTAATCCCATTCCTCTAAATCAAAATTTATGTCTCTCAGCTGTTCCGTATTTTCTATCGTTCGAGCTGACCGTTGCTTCAGAGCGTTTGGTTTGGCCCATCAACAGCCAGAAAAATTTTTTTGATCAATTTCACCCAGTTCGTCTGCCTGACTTGGACCGTCCATTTTTCATTCGGCCATCTAATGGCTCATATATTTTTGTTAATTGTAAATAATTTTGATTTTTTCCCCCAATCGCCGAATTTTCTCTTCATGATTGCCTTTCAGGGAATCATATTGCACTGACTGGCATCAGCCCACCACTGGTAATTGAGCGAAGCAATTTGGTGCAGCCGGGTGAAGCGCATACTGAAAAATGGGCCAAAATAAAAGAAGTGAGAGACCAAAAAAGGGCAGCACGACAATCTGCAGGCACTCCAGTGTAACGGCATCCTGAAAAATCAACGATTTTGCGCTGGAACTGTTTCCCTTCTCAATTTTTATAAATCAGGTATATAAGCTACCTTCTACTTTCAAATCATCGTCGCCGAGCCAAGGCTCCCTCATCAGCACAGTCTTCGTTGCCCGGTATTTTTCGCATATTGCACAGAGAATAAAGAGTTGGCTTGATTGAGGAAGAAACTGTGATCTGTAATTTTTTCCTATAGAATTTTTAAATTTCCCGGTTTTTATTGGAAATTTTAAGTTTATTTTGAGTTTATTTGCATTTTATGACCCCTTGTATATTTATGACTTGAGACAATAATTTATCTTTGGGGAATGCTAAGCGATTTCTCTTCGTGTCGAAAAGGGGTAAAAATGCCTTGGTTTATGTAGCCGAGGAAAAGCCGTAGCAGTACTTATCTGATGGACAAGGTACGGGTCACTAGTTAAGCCTGACCAGAAGATTTGACAGATACCCACTAAAGCATATTTTTGGTGCAGAATTCTTGAACTGAGGATTGGTAAGACGCGCCTAGCTATTATTAAATTACTAAAATTCGAGGTCTGATTGTTGAGAGAGATTTCAAAACGGTCCATCCGTCCATAGGTGGATCAAGGACGGACTCATCTCACTCTGGAACTATGCAAAAACTAGGAAGAGAGTTGTAACACACTGCTACTTAGAGTTACTTTAGGCTTTAGTTTACTTTAGTTTTAGTTTTAGAACTGCGCTTTTGCACCGCTGAGGGAGGGGGGAGGGACGAAAAACTCATCGCCCTCTCCCCCCGAATCACCTTTGCGGCTCTCCGATTTCCGGTATAAAACTTGATCGGTGTAATTTTAAATGTGCTTTTTTTTCGCCCAAAATAATTCTATTTTTTAGAATGCTATTTCCGGCTAAGCCCCCAGGATCAAACATGGGTTCCTTTCAGATATCTTCATCAGTAGAGATGATATTTAAACCGATCCCTTATTTCTGATCCCGCGATTTCAGCCACTCAAGCTTTTTCATAAAAAATTCGACCAATGCTCAAAACCATGCATGTATTGTTTGTGATGATTTTGTGAACGGTGACCATACATTTCTCGCCTTATCAAATGTATCTCATACGATTTTCCATGTTGTTGTTTCTTTTTTTTTTTGTTGTGCGCTTCGCTCAGCGTTGTTTGTTGAATTTTCTTCAAAAAAAAAGTATTCTTTATTCTGAAAGTGATAAAATACAATACAAGACTGCATATAGAGGGGGAAAAGCGATATGTGTAGTAGCTTGTTTTTGTGCAAAATATACATAACGGGGAGCAATGCAATGCGGCTTGAAAAAGAAGCCAGGACAAAAGCCCGTGAAAATAATGAACAGAATAGGGGGCAAAAAATACTTGACAAGTACAGCAGGAGACACAACCAACAAATCGGAGGTTTGTGGGAAAAAAAGTTGATTCTTAGCATTCGCGGGAATCAGTAAGGCCAATTTAGCGCTAAGATTTGATAAA